TTTCTTACTTATTACTTATTACTTCTTACTTATTACTTCTTACTTATTACTTCTTACATCCTTTTACTACTTACTACTTACACCTACCCATCTATTCATAACGGTTCCATGGTGTAGGGGCAGCATATAAGATTTTGGTTCTTAGGACCCCAGTTCGAATCTGGGTGGGACCACTTTTTATGTATATAACTATACCTTTATACCATTATATTAAACTTATGAACTTTATCTATGTTTATATTCTAACTATTATCTCTTTCTATATATATTTCTATCTTATATTATGTTATATATTCTACTATATTCTACTTTTATCACCACTTATGTATGTATGTATATATATATATCACTATCTATATATTATATATATATATTATGTATCTATATATTATATATATTATGTATCTATATATTATTTATATATATTATATATATATTATCTATCTATATATTCTTCTTTATCACTCTCTGTCTATATGTTTATTCCTTTTATATATGTTTATTCCTTTTATATATGTTTATTCCCTTTAAAAAATACCTAGAAGGCGACTATGGGGATCGGACCCATGACCTTCTCTTTACGAGAGAGACGCTCTGCCACTGAGCTAAGCCGCCTTATATTATTATTACCTATTTCTATCTTTACACTTAGCTTATATATATTTATTATCTTCCCTATTTATTATGTTATTATTTATCATCTTTTTACCTTTATATCTTTTTATTACTTTATTATACATCTACTATACACTTCTTACTATTACTATTTCCTACTTATTACTATTTACTTATTACTTCTTACATTACTTCCATTTCTTACTTATTACTTATTACTTCTTACTTATTACTTCTTACTTATTACTTCTTACATCCTTTTACTACTTACTACTTACACCTACCCATCTATTCATAACGGTTCCATGGTGTATGGGCAGCATATAAGATTTTGGTTCTTAGGACCCCAGTTCGAATCTGGGTGGGACCACTTTTTATGTATATAACTATACCTTTATACC